CACGAAGCGAAGCGGGCCCGCCGGCTTGTGCCGTGCTCTTACGTCTGCCATAGTTGCCTAACTTCGCCACTTACTGTGGTAGGTGGCGGCTAGTTTTTCCTCAAATATCTTAGCCGTAAGGAGAGTTGAAACTACTTGTACAAAGTCCATTAAAGAGTATAAACTCACGCCGCGGTGATTACAAATGCTGCCGATTTTGGCGACGGCTTTGGGGTCGATTAAAGCTTTTTAATTGAAATTACGGCGAGTAAACTTTGAACAAACATTTCTGAATTAAATAATAAGTCTCTTCGAGTCGTAAAGGTGCCCAAATGGCGCAGTAAATCATCAGAAAATTTGGATAATGCTTTATACTTGTATATAATTTGGATTCTATGTGTATTGGATACGTCGATTTAATTAGTAGGGAAAAAGTTTTTAAGTTAAACAATTAGTTTGTTTTATGAATTTAATTTAAATATTGTTAACGATATTAGGAGTGGCATTATTATTCGCTAAACTAAGTTCACATAAAGAAAGCTATAGATGACATTCATAAATGTCAAATACAGGGTACGACGCATAAGGTTCTAAAGGTTGAGAGAAGCTCGTTGTCTTACAGTACATATATTACGATAACGATAGAAAACAATGTAAAAGGTAGTTATCCCACCCAGTGGATCTAAAATTTTTACTATGTAGGTCATAAGTCCAATCCAACTTTTCGGTCTGAGTACTTTTGTCAATTAAGGGTATAAAAAGACGAATGATAAAACTAAGTATAAAGTCGATCAAAGTTACAAGCGTTATTAAGCCTTTAAGTTTAAGGAAAGACTACCTCATTTTGTGTGTCTCATCACTTGAATAATAAAAAGACTTGATACAGAAGAATCATTCGATATGCCGTAACTCTTATAATTACATTAATTTAGGTTATGAAAGTATTGCTGCAATATATTTATTTAACATATTTTTTATATAATTAGAATGGCAAAGCTATCACGCTGCCTGATTATAGGTGGTAACCGTCACTAATATACATGGACATCGCATTATCATGTTGCTAAGGACTAAGGTGCCATGCTTCTTGTCCTGTAATTACACTGTTTAATCGAAATACAGCTTATAAAGGAAGCTGTTTGCTGAAGTACATAGGTGAGACAGAGAGTAACCTCAGAAAACTAAAAATTAAGCTAAGGTGGAATTTAAAAAAATATATATCTACATAGAGAAAGGATAAATTTAAACAAATATACCTAAGTAATAACTAAGTAACTATTATTATAGCTATTTACCAATATTTAAAGACATTGGAACCATTTTTATTAGGGAAACAATTCGCGGATTAAAAGCGAACAGGTATTATTTTACAATGTGCGAGTCAGCGCAGTCGCTTCATATAAATATGTAAGCGAAGGAAACGCTGACGTCTGCGTTCCGCCGAGTCTGCGGAAACCGCGTCAATTAACTTGGCCGCGATGACATATTAGCCTTTGTTCCGCGCTCGTTTCTCCGCACTACCCACTGGTATTCACTTGTAAGAAACTACGTATTTAAAAGATATTACAAACTTTCTCAATACTATTAGTACATTCCGACCCAACAATACAGTTTCAATTTAAAAAATTTGAAATTGTTATTATATTATTTTAATATCTCGCCTGGTCATCTGCCGGGTGGTAGACAATTAAATGCCGAATCAATTCTAAATTAAATAGAGCCACTGTGAAAATACAAAGTTTAGTAACTGTCAATGTCAAACAAAGAAGATGAAAAAAGTTTTTTCTTCCAATTCCATTTTCTTTCACGATTCCTCTTTCACAGTCTCTAAAAGTTTTCAAAATAAGAGGTTTTCGCGAGAGTCTCAATTATCGATAAAGACGATATTAAAAATTCGTTTGTTTTGTTCTTAGCTTGCGCCCGGAGAGTGGTGCCCCTTTTTTCCATTGTTTGCGTAAGAAGGGAAAGCAGAAGCGGCGACAAACGATAATCAGAAATTTGAATTTCGCCCCCACAAGTACTGACAAAATCATCCGATTTTGTGCGTCGTTTATCATCGCAATTAATTAGGCGAACAAAAAACTTATTATCTTCGTTCTAAAAGAAATTGTTTATGTCAGTGAACAGTTCGCGCCAGTTAATGTACCTAAAAAACTTTGCCTTTTATATTTTTCTGTAATTAATTCATTGAGGTAGCTATATCGGTAGTCGTCTTTTAAAATTACCATGCTTTATAGGTCTTGATTCTATACTTGTTGGGAAATTTAATATACATAGTTTACGTTGGGCGGTACTGCGATGTGATGAAGGAACATAGTCTATAAATGTATTCGTGAGCATTATAGTGTAACATGTACGAGGCAGTGCTCCCTTAATGTATTCATGTAATTCGCATAGCCGGCATCCCCTTTGACCAGCCACGCAACACCGCACTGGCTGCCCGGATAGAGTAATATAACGTGATGTTTTAAAACCATCCATCACGTTTAATGTCCATATAAAAAGAAGGAGCTAGCGTGCTGACTCTCTACGGAGTTTTTTTTCGCAATTCGCGAATGGTCTAATTCCATAACACATTCTGAAAATATTTGAGTCCAATATTTTAAAAAGATAAAGAATTTTAATATGTAAATGTAGTTTGTAGCTGGCTGCATTTTGGTATTTGAAGTTTGCGTTCATTTTAATAATACAATATTGTGCTTTAGTTTTATTGTATTCTCAGTGTAGTTCACCCGAATTATGAATTGACTGCACTTAAGCATTCAACAGTCCAAATACAAAAGCAAGTGGTTTCCAACTAGCCTTGGCGGGTTAAATAAAACCTCAAGCATCGGCTACTTGAATATAAAAACGGTAGGATGCGGACGAGCTGGCTCTGTGCTGACTCCAATTTGCATTAAATGCGGCTTGCCCCCACCAGTGATAATTCACATATATATCAGAATTGCAAAAGTAACAGAAGTTAATTCACATTCTGTGTGAAATTGTAGTCATATCCAACTCTACATTTTCACAATACGAACCGCAAAGTAACTTGAAATGTATGATCTAATAATTCTTTGTGCAAGTAACGCGAACTGGATTATTTAGCTACAGAATTATATGTAGTTTATAATGTACATAAAATTAGCTTTGACTATTTATTATAAAAATATAAACAAATACCTGATGGGCAAGAGTTTTATCAAAGTCAATGTTTCATAATAGCAATATTTTATGCTTTCAAAGCGGAGTGGTTTCTTTATTAATCTGGAAGCATATTTGTATTTATTTTTTGGAAAATTTTTACTTAGTGCAACTTAAGTTTTATTATTGAAAGTGATATTTTCTTTCAAAATTCAAATACATTATATAAACGAGATATTTAAATTTTCATTATTTTTCATCACAGAGACATTTTTACTACGGGCTGATTAGGTAATCATTTAAGCCAATTGTTGGAAACAAAATTAGTGTACTAATAATTTGCAATTTTTAGTCCTGTTATTTTTGTCCCTTATACATATTTCACATCTCATATTTTTTCAATTGACGATATGCATTGTACAATGCTCACTTCATTTACGTTAATGATGTCCCACTTTCAACTTTCAGTTTTACCATTTTTAAACCATCTTATCTAAATTAACATTAATCTAGTTGCTAAGAGTTAAGCCATAATTTTCCGTAACGAACAGTTGTTAGGTTTCTTATAATTTGAGATATAATTTTATAAGGTGTTCTTTCCGATTGTGTGTAGATTGAAAAATAAAAACTTATACGAAGCTATTTTATTCAGGAATATACAAATCTAATTCCTGTTCTGATATACTAGAGCTTTAAGCAAATCGAACCCATTCTACTGCTGGATTTGAAATTGATTTTTTACATCCCGATTTGAAAATCCATTTCAATCATATAAAGCAAATGGGAATCAAGGAGGGTTCCACATGAAAATCTGTTTTAACGGGTGAAGTAAATCTTCTATTTTACTCAAAATGAAAATAACTTTTTCTAAAATGAAGACGGAATATAATAATGTATAGAATAATACCGCAGTAGGATAACAATGTACAATAGCAAGAGGTTATTATCTTACTCATATTATAAACGCAAAAGTTTGTAAGTGTGAATGGATAGATGGATGGATGGATGTTTGTTACTCTTTCACGCAAAAACTACTAAACAGATTTAAATGAAACTTTATAGTAACATAGCTTATATATTAGAATAACATACAAGCTATAAATTTCATAAACAGCGAACTAGTAGGTACTTATTAATGATATAAGTCGAGTTTTCATTTTTAAATTTATTTCTTAAAATGTTTCATTATTGATGACAATACTACACAGATGCGTAATATAGTATGCATACATAGTAATGTTTTTGTGTTTAAATTATAATATTTATATAAAAATGGTACAAAAATGATTTCTATCCCGGAATGGTAACTGTTTATTTTTTTAATATTTCCAAAATATATCAGTAAAAATATTGCAAAAGAACAAATTAAAAATATTGTAAAAGAACAATAATAAATAATATGTATTTATTATTGTTCTTTTACAATATTATTCATAACTTTTAGTTTACATTACATTTTCTATCTTATTATGTCAATAGGTAGGTATCTCTTCTACCATGATAATTTAATAAACATACTATTATACACAAAAACAGAGGGAAAAGGAAATAGACTAAATACGTTGTTATTCGATTCAATCACAAGCCCATCTAGGATACAGGCGGGGCCGAGATCACAGCCCGCATACTAAATTATTAGCCCTTAGTTATTTATGCATCGTGAGCCAACATCTTAATAGCAAGTGAGAGTTATGTCCAGCCTAAAATAATATTTTGAGTAAATGTTTGAAAATAAACAAACGGTGTTCAAGCGGTATGCTTTACAATCACAATATGTCGTAACTTTGCAACGCTGCGCCGTTTTGTGGCAATTTAATGTTGAAATGAGTTATTATAAGGGTTTCATTTGAAATTTACGAACAAATGTAATGAGCTAAAATATTTGTAGAGCTTACCTTTGGATGTGCTCTTCTTGGAAAGGCCACTTTGGGGTCAATCTGTAATGAAAAAATAATGATTTATTATTAAATTACTTCTATCAGTTGTTTAGCACAAGATGTACTTAGTTTGTGATAAAATGGCACTTTATAAATTATCCTGAGGGTATGAAATTATTATATGTACATATATATTAAAGGATTAATACATTTAACTGGTTCTACTCAAATGAAATTTACCTAAATATTTACCTATCTACTATGAAACGAATTTAAAAAGTCAAGTTCAATATTCAAAGTGTACTCAAGATACAGTTAGTAACTGAGAAAGATACAAAAAGATATCGACACTACCATAGTAGTTAGTATAAAATATATTAGATTATATTATCTAACATGTTAAGATGAAGTTATTATAAACTGCATATACCTGTATCGATCAAACTCCATTTAACCTGTTTAGTTGTGCTCCGGTAATATGTATTAAGTAGCTACAAAAATATTTAAATATTTTTTTGACGAGTTTTATACAGTACTTGCTCTTGTTATATCATATATGCTGTTTCAGCATTTGATTTTATAAATAAAACGTGCATCAAAATAATACAATTTATTAATTTTCTGAAGTAATGAAACATAATTTTTGGAATTGATGCTACATATACCTTTTTTATTTTTTTTAATAGCACCTTATCTAAGTATAACAAAAGTCGTATTTTTATTAATAAAATTGTAATTATAAACAGAACACAAATGAAATATTTTATCACTAAAAATATCAAAGGTTCGTACTTCTTTGGGTGTATATTTTGCGTTTATAGCGGTCAACGGCACACTGAGATAGAAACAAAAAGACACAGCAGCGCTCGCTGCCGAGAGAAAATCTGAGGGCTTATACACTGCCACGTATGAAATAGCGCTCGGTTACATGAAAAAGACGAGAGGCGAAATCGAGTGACAGGACCACGGCGCAGGATTTTCAGTCCGATGGTTTTTTGCAGTCCCGGATTTTAAACTGGACAGTGCGGCCGCACGGCACGGCGTTGCGAATTTATCGTCCCTCGTTCCACAGCGAGAGGACCATAATTAGTTGAGACAAACACATCTAAACAATTTATTTTATTATACTTTACAACAATACCTACCATTTAATTAGAGCTATGACGGAAATAATTTATTAGGCAATAATATTATAAATCTGTGCACAAGACAAAAGATTTAATATACTTACATACATACGTACAATATAAATAACATTTCACTTTCTTTTAAGTAATTTATTTTTCATAATTTGCGTAGTAACAAAATATTAGCTTAAAATATATTTTCGCTGCATATTGGTACGAAGGTTTAATTTGACAATCAATCTGTATTGTAGTTTCTTTCAACGTAATATAGAATTTATATTATTGAGAGTAAATAAAATTTGGACCAAGTATATTTTTATTTTGTCACATAAACGTCACTGTGAATCGTAATGAAAAATTGTCCAGCGACAGGCCAGAAGCATGGCATGGTATATCGTAATTATGAGCCGAAAGTGCGAGAGAATTATTTAAAAGATTTTGCCCAAGAGGACTGCATTATTACAATATCAGGAAAACGGCTTTACAGCGTCATTCATACATTCTTAATTATTTAATTATCTTTTGAGTGCGCCACGGCATACCGCGGCTGCAGAGAATCCTGTACAATTTGATTAAATTGGATTTTGCACGGAGAGAAAATTCATTTTTACGTCTGAGTAATGATGTTATAATTAGGGACGTTGATAACGGGTACTCATGTCGACGTATAAGTAAAAAGTGCATAGAAAAGTAAGCGTATAATGTTGTTGGGAAGCTTTTGGTCGGCTCACGCAAGCAATTTTGTAAACGTTGTAAAATGACCACGAAAGTACACAGAGCAAGCAGAAAAATCATAAAACCCCAGATGGTGGCGCTAAAGCGATTAAGCGGGTCGATGATAAATTTTAACGAGTTATTTTAATGGAGGCGATCGCAGTCAGTGGCTAGCCGGCAGCCTGCGTCGATAGAAAAATAAAACGAAACTCAAAAACTCTGTTTAAATACGTGACTTGGTGATTTTTTTTATTATAAAATGTTTCGTGAAGTTTTAATGGTAATGACTTTTACAAACAGTCTTTTAAAACTGGAAGATCAAATTTATTTAAATTAATATCTTAACTTGCGTTATTAATAATTATAAAGACTTGAGTATGTATTTTTCGAGATTTGGGTTTATTTACAGTGTAAATAATACAGGATGTGATATTTAAACACGATATTAAATTATTTTAAGTGAAAAGACATTAAAACAATTGAAAAGACAAAGTGAAAGAGAAAGTTTATTTTCAATGAAATTATATTTTTATTGTACTTAGTGTCCTCTTGACCTTTTTTTGCTCTGATTTCTAGTATTAAGTATTGCAAGTCGGTTAAGGGTTTTTATAAAACTCAGCGATATGTATTGGTTTTTTCTCAGCTGGATTTAGTAAGCAATATTTTAAAAATATAAATGTTATCTTTACTTAATCTGATTACTCTCATCTGGGATTACAACTTTATATGTATATGTACATAATATTGCACTTCATTATTATTTTGCTTCTAGTACAATATGAAGTATTCCTTTATATATTGTCCAAAAATAGTAAAACTTTAGTCCTTTACTAAAAGTAAACATAGAAGCAATTTCCAGTCGATACTGCTTTTACGGTAACGAAAAGAAAAAGTATTCCCAGACCTGTTGACAGAACACATACATATGTAATATGCCATAACAGCACAGCTTGAAAAATAATACTCCTGCGCAAAAATGACAGCGAAACATCGATAGGAATGTGACATTTTGATATGGAGCCATTTGCGTGATTACAATCGACGCAGTGGCGCACCCTCCTTAGCCGCGTTCGACCTCCCCCTTCCTACAACTTCCCTTACGATAAAGATTGACATCGATGCTTTTAAATTTCAAATTATCCTATGTCAAGGTACAAGAGACATTCTAAAGTGCACCTCGGTATAACTATAATAAGAACTAAAGTCTTATAAACGCCTTACAAATTTTGGCGTGTCATCGCAAGAAAAGATTGTAGGCGAAAGCACATTAGTGGGATATCACTACTGGTTGGAAAGAGCATGTTCGCTTTATGTACTCGGAGCGATGGCATCGACATAAAGTCGATTACGTTAAATTTTATATTAAGCAAACAGTCAATGTCGATGTCTCGTGCGGTTTCATGAGACACGCTTTGACATGGTACAAAATGTTGTTTTTATAAATGAATTAATTAAAATTTCAAGCCCTAATGGGGTAAGGCATTGTGCAATGTTTACGTTGATAAATATACTTAATTACTTTAATCAATTAACGATTCAAAATAATCACTATAATTATAATTACTTTTTAACAAAATAGAAGTAAGTATTCTTTTTAAAATATTAATTCTGTATAAAAGATAATCCTCGAATAAAACAATGTTTCAAGTTGAAAGTGATATAAATGGAATACTTATGGTTACAATATACAAAACTAGGTAAAATATATGGTTTTAATTTTTTTTTATCATATAATATTTAGGACATATTTACCACAAAAGGTTTTAAAATTTATAACAGTATTATTGCGTAAATTATTATTTTACTGTAATAGTTTAATTAGTTTTTAAATAATTGTTGACATTGTCAATAAATAAACTATATACATAACTATAATAAAAATGTATGTGACTATTACTACTGTACTATATTCTAAATAGGTATTTCTAAATGTACGTACTCTGAATTACATTGTTCTAAAACTAAGATAGCAGCAGTTCTATTCTCTACAAAATTAACATTTAATTAAATTCAATGATAGGTTAAAACAGTATTAAATCCCCTATAACTAACAAATGTCACGCGCCAGTTGAATCGAGGACAAGAAAGTTTAATGATGTGCACTCAGTGCAAGCGGTAACTAAATTTATTTACGTAGACGACACGTAAGTGTCGCCGGGGCGATGTTAAGTGGGGACCGCATCATTTGCTGTTCAGTCAGCAACCAACGCGCACTCTAACTCCTAGTAATTGGAACGAATTTGGCTGCAGGTGCAATACTCGAGTTGGCTGGCTCAAGATTAGTGGCGAGCTATTGCAACCATATTCCAGGCTGTTCCCCTTGAAATATTTGATGTGCAATACGCGACCTGCGGCGTGGCGTCCGCTTTCCTCGCGCCATCACCCACCCACGTGCGCTCTTACTAACTTAAATTAAATTAAGAACAATATTTACCCTCGTACCAGGATAAATGATATTGCGCACTTACGTTAGAATTAATGTTAAGCGACGACTTATGTGCCCACATTCTTAGCGTAAGCTACTGCATGACGGCGACGGCTAGAGTATGCATATCGAATGGAAAGAGAGGCCGATAGCGCGACACCTTCACGAGATCAACTAACGAGGCAAAATAATAGCGACATTGTTACGTGCCATTCTTTTAATTGGTACAGTTTTTACTGCATACAGAAAAATGGTAATACGTTGCGATACGATCGGGAAACACTTGACATAGATTGTTTATAAAGTAGAGTTTAGCTTTAATACACGGCGAGACAAGGTGTAATGAAACCCCGCTAGGGAGGAGGCTCGACAAACGTCATTACTGGGGCACGCATAAATATGCAAGGCAGGTAACGCACATTTTCATGCGACGTCGCAAGAATTTTATCGCTCGTTTAATTCTGTGAGAAAAAATGGGATTCTTTTCGGTGTAACATGAGATAGGCGGCCGCGTGGGAACCGACACACTGGCCTCGCAGCCTATACGAGCTTCGCACCTAAGTGCAACCGAAATATATTTTATCCACTTTGTCAGATATTACTTTCTCTTAAATACTGACGTCGAAAGCGTAAACGATAGAAGAGAAGATACGTAATCTTATCCATCAGTTGAACCTTATTCGTTAGGCGCTAATGTGGGTGCTTTGTGTAGTTAGAGGTGGGCCTATTAACGTGTGTTTTATTCATTGCCCTTTTCCTTCACTGTATGTTACGCGTCCGCTACAATTGCCTGG